TTTATTATACTTTCTACCTCTTTGTTGACGTTCTCCCTACGTTTTCCTGTCACTCTCAAGTTTGGTGAGCATCTTTATGACCATTTCTTTGAATTCTTTATTAGGCAAATTACGTATATCCATTTCCTTGGGTTTTTCTTTTTTTCTGCAGATTTTTCTTGTTCTTTCATTTGAGAAATAATTCTCGCTTCGTTTCATTTAGTTTAAGTGTCTATATTTGTTATATGAATTCGATAAAATAGCCATCTCTCCCAGTCTTTAAAACCTGGCCTTATGTACCAGGGACCTTGGTGTAGGCCAGTGGTCAACAAACCGCGGCTCGCCAGCCACAGGCCTCTCACGAGCCACATGCTGCTCTCGAGCCGTGGTTTGCTGCTCTGTTGACGAATGAGTTTGCTGACCACTGGTGTAGGCTGTGTTTGTCAGGTGACTTTGGTAGCCAGAGGAGCTGAGCAGGTGGGTGGAAAGTGTCCTGGACACTGGCCCACATGGAATGGCTCCAGGTGGGGAGACCAGGCGCATTTGTAATGGCCTGTTGATCCTGTTTGCTCCCGTTGTTTGGGACTGAATGGGTTTAGGAGATGTGTCAGGTACACTCTACAGTTGCCTTGCGGGTAGGCCAGAGCCCCCGGGTAGAGGAGGCAGAGGGGGGTGTAAGCAATGGTGCTCATTGGCACCTCCAACCAGGGATAGTTCTCAGCTCCAGTGCTCCCCAGACTTCTCTCTAGAGTCTCACTCTTATTGTACAGAAAGTGGTCTTACGTAGACGTGACCTCTGTGCAGGCTTTACTGCCAACTTGGAGCCCAGCAGGGAGGCCAGGTCTGTACCATACAGCTGTTGCGGCTTGCTCCCTTTGCAAAAGGATTGGGCAGCAGAGCTGGGAAAGCTGCTGTGCTTTGCAGGCGAGCCAGAGCGCCTGAACAGAGATCCGCCTGCCCTATGGCGTTCACAGGCGCCTCCAGCCCGTAGAGTTCCTGCAGCTCCTGGGGCTTTCCCAGCCTTCTCCATTCCTTTGTTGTTATTGTTGAGAAACTCTTCATTAAGCCCTTCGCTATCTTGCAGGAGTAATTATTATATATATATATATGTGTGTGTGTGTGTGTGTGTGTGTGTGTGTGTGTGTGTGTACTAGTGTATTTGAGTTTGCTCATGGGAGGGGTTGAGTTCAGATCTATGCTGCCACCATTTTGGACTTTTTCTTTCTAGTTTTTAAATATATTTTATTGATTTTGTACAGAGAGGAAGGGAGAGATATAGTTAGAAACATCGATGAGAGAGAGTCATCGATCAGCTGCCTCTTGCACACCCCCCACTGGGGATATGCCCGCAACCAAGGTACATGCCCCCGACCAGAATCGAACCTGGGTCCCTTCAGTCCCCAAGCCGACGCTCTATCCATTGAGCCAAACCGGTTCCGGCTCTTTCTAGTTTTTAAATGTGTAATTCTAAGTAGTTTATTTGAGATTTTGTTTGTTTTTTGAGATAGACCTGTAATGCTCTAAACTTCCCCCTTTGTATTGCTTTTGCTGCATCCCCCCCATTTTGGTATATTGTATTTTTATTTTCATTTGTCTTTATGTATCTTTTGATCTCTTATTTCTTCTTTGACCCAGTAGTTGTTTAGTGGCATGCTGTTTAATCTCCGCATATTTGTGATTTTCCCAGAAAGTATGTTTGGTATGATATCAGTCTTCTCAGATTTATCTAGATTAGTTTCATTATCCAACATATGGTCTTTCCTTGAGAATACTCTGTGTGCATTTGAAAAGAATGTGTATTATCGCATTTTGGGATGTAAAATTCTATAAATATTAACTTCATTTAACCTGATGTGTCATCTAAGGCCCATATTTCCTTATTGACTTTCTGTCTGGTCTATTTATTGCTGTCAACGGGGGATTCATGTCACCTACTATAATTGTATTTTTGTCAGTTTCTCCCTTTAGGTCTGCAAGTAATTGCTTTATATATCTTGATACTTCCAGATTGGATGCATACATATTAATAAGTGTTATGTCTTCTTAATGAATTGTCTCCTTTATCATTATAAAATGTCTCTCTTTGTCTGTTACCTCTTTTTTTCTTTTAATCTTAAAATCTGTTTTGTCTCATAAGTACAGCTACACCCACTCCTCTCTGGGTGCCATTTGTTTGAAGCATCATCTTTGCCCCTTTACTTTGAACCTGTGTCTTTGTAGAGTAGAGTCTCCTGTAGGCTACATGTAGTTGAGTCTTATTTTATAATCCATACTTCTACTTTGTGCCTTTTGATTTGTGAGTTCAATCCATTTATAATTAGGGTTTTTAATGATAAATGAAGACTTACCACAGTTATTTTATTTTTTAAAAAGTATATTGATTCTTTACAGAGAGAAAGGGAGAGGGATAGAGAATTAGAAACATTGATGAGGGAGAAACATCGATCAGCTACCTCCTGCACACCTGCCACTGGGGATGTGCCTGCAACCAAGATACATGCCCTTGACTGGAATCGAACCTGGAACCCTTGAGTCCATAGGCGGAGATTCTATCCACAGAACCAAACCTGTTAGGGCAACACAGTTATTTTATCCTTTGTTTTCTTGTTGTTCTTATCTCCATTGTTTGTTTTCTCTTGTAATTATTTCTGCTATTTTAGTTTGATAGTTTTCTATGATTTTCTTCTCCATTTCTTCTTCTTTTTTAATATTTTATCTCAGCTCTGGATTTTTGCTTTGTGGTTACCATTAGAGTTGTGCAAAATGTCTCAAACATACAGTGCTTTTTCTTCTGATTGCCTCTTCATTCACCTGTACCTACTCAGTCCTCTTCCTCCTCTTTTATCATTTTGTTGCTGCAAATTATCCCTCTTTATGTTGTAAACTTGTTATCTCCAGTAGTAATAATTATTTTAATGCCCTTCCCCTCTTTAACCTTTATGTTATAATTACTTAATAAACTACATTGAAATAGATATTCAGTTTTCTGCTATCAATCATCTTATTCAACATTTTGTGTACTTTTGTATTTTTGTTTCCAGTAGAAGACCTTCTTCCAACATTTCTTATATGCAGTTGTACAGTGGTAAATTCTCTTAGCTTTTCTTGTCTGGGAAAGCCTTTATTTCTTCTTAATGTCTAAAGGATAACTTTGCTGAATATCCCATCCTTTGCTGATGGGTTCCTCTCTTTCAATATTTTCTTTCACTCTCTCCTCTCTTGTAATGTTTCTACTGATAACATTACAGAAAAATCTGGTGATGATCATCTAATGGGGTTTCCTTTTTTGGTTAATCTTTATGTTCCCTGGCTGCCTTAAGAAATTTTTCTTTGTCATTAATTTTTGAGAGTTTGAATAAAATGAGGATGGAAGAAGGTCTCCCCCCCCCCCCCCACTTTTTTTTTCATTGATAGAATTAGGTATTCTGTTAGTTCCTCTATTCTAACATCTAGTTCTTTGCATAGGCTTGGAAGTTCTTGTCAATTATTTCTTTAAGTAGGACCTCTGTTACCTTCTCTGTCTCTCTTCTCTTTCTGGTATACCATACCTGTTATCCTTATGTTGCTCTTTCTAATGTAGTCAGAGAGCTCTTCTATTTTTTAATTTTTAGTTTTCTCTATCCTTCATGGATCATTTTTAGGTTTCTCCAAGTTCCCTAATCCTTTTTTTTTTAAGTATATTTTTATAGATTTCAGAGAGGAAGGGAGAGGGAGAGATAGAAACCTCAAGGATGAGAAAGAATCATTGGTCAGCTGCCTCCTGCACACCCCCGACTAGGAATCAAGCCTGCAACCTGGCCATGTGCCCTGACCAGGAATTGAACCATGACCTCCTGGTTCTTAAGTTGAGCCATACTGGCGAGGCAAGTTCCCTAATTCTTTTTTCTGTCTGGTCTTCTCTGTTTCCAATGCTCTCTAGTGCATTCTTTATGTCATTTATTAAGCTCTTCAGCTCTAGAGTTTGTTTCTTTTATTATAGTTTGAATCTCTTTGGTAAAGTACTGCTTTTGCTCATTAATTTTATTTCTGAATGTATTGAATTGCCTTTCTGAGTTTTCTTGTATATTGTTGAGTTTTTTAATAATTGCAGTCTTGAATTCTCTGTCATGTAAACCAGAGTACAGTCCTCCATGCCTTTGAGTTTGGTTTCTGGAGGTTTTTCCTTTTCTTTCAGTGACCCTGGTTGTTCATGGCATTTGATGGATTGTTTCTCTGTGTGTGCATTTGAGGTAGAGATCTTATGGCTCTGCCCTACCTCTTACAGTAATGGCTTCCCAGCCATCTCTACACCCAGCTTTGCTGCCGTGGGGAGGGCAGAAGAGAGATGCTTTTCTAAGAAGGAAACTGCTTCTACCCCTCTGACCCTCCAGGTTGTAGTGTCGGTTGAAGTCTGCAGCCGACTTCTCTCCTGCTATTGTGCTCCTTGCTCTCTGGAGCCAGGGTGGGCTCCAAACTGCGTCTGTGGCCACTGCCCCTGTCCTCCTCCCATCTCAACTCCCCTCCTGTCCTCTTCCCATCCCACCTCCCCTCCTGTCCTCTCATTTCAGCATGCCCACCTTCAGTTGTGCTAATGCATGACTCTTTCAGGCCTGTTTGTGTGTTGAGCAGATTTTTGTTGAGTTATTATTGTCTTAAGCTAAATTTAAGAGGAGAAACTAATGGAATCTTCTCACTCTGCCATGATGCCGATGTTACCTCTCCCCATTTACTTCTAAAAACCTATTGCTATCTATTAGGTAACAGTTTTTGAAGCCTAGCTTTTGTTGCTATCTATTCTTGAAGCCTATTAAAATAGTGTTTCTTGAAACATGCTGTATAATTTAAACTTTTTCCACATTAGTGTGGCTTTGTACAGTATTTTTATAGGTACTTATTATTCGACTCAAATTAGAATAGTGACACAATTTTAATAAAGAGAAAATAAGCAAAATAATTTTAACTAAAGGTACTTATTTACTTCCATATTTGGTTTTCCTGAACTAGTAGACTCTGTGTGGTGAGCTGCTCCCTCTCCCTTTCAGGTACTATGCTGTCATGGTGACCATGTTCTTCACGGTCAGCGTGGTGAACAACTACGCCCTGAACCTCAACATCGCCATGCCCCTGCACATGATATTCCGATCGGTGAGTTCTGCAGCTGGAGTGTGCTCAGACCAGTGAGCAGAGGCTAGCTGTCACCTGAAGAGGCAAAAAGAGAGAAATGTGAAAGGGGATGGTTTACTTTTATTTTTCTCAGGTTTTATGGGCAATTAATAAAAGGTAAGTTAACATTTTCTGGAGAAACAGATTTTAACTTTTAATTTCCTTCATCTGGTTGATTTTATATTCAAACTTGCTATGAATATTCTTTAACTTATTTCTCATCACTTTTTCTTACATGAAATTACATTTACTTATAGTAAATGAAGCAGACCCTTCTTTCATATCTGTGTGTGTGTGTGTTGTTAATCCTCACCTGAGAATATTTTTCCATTGATTTTTAGAGAGAGTTGAAGGGAGGGAGTGAAAGAGAGAAACATCAATATGAGAGAGACACACCGGTTGATTGCCTCTCTGTATGTGCCCCAACCATGGCTGGGGATTGAACCTGCAACCCACGTATGTGCCCTTGATCAGGAATCAAATGCACAATCCTTCAGTGCTCGGGCCCACACTCTAGCCATTGAGAGCACAGGCCAGGGCCAGATTCTTCTCCTTTCTGATTTCTTTTTCTTTTTTTCTTTTTTTTAAAAATAAGAGACTTGAGATAATGAAATAAAGGGCAATTCTTGGTGGAGGCATGCTTCTTCCAAAGCAGCAGAGGATTTCTCTCTGCCTCATGGATGGGAGAGATCTGTGCTCAGTATACATACAAGAACTGTGTTCCCTGCAAGGCAGAAAAGACTTGGAGGGAAATAGTTAGGGTTGCAGAAGAATACAGAATGAGTGAGGATTAGAATTGTAACATTTTGGTGTGCTCTGAGATTTTTGTGAGATCAAATGTGTTATTTATAAAAGCACTTTCCAGGGCTAATTATAATGATTAAGATGGACCCTCAAAGCATTGAGCACATAGACTTTCAATAAGCACTTGATGATGGACAGACACCCTTCCAGAGAAGAGAGAGATCTCTGTACGACTTTTTTCATTAAAACGAGGGGGGAGGAGCAACGTAGTAAAAGCTCTTATACATTAGTGGGAAAAGTTGACAAAGATAAGCCTGTAGTAAGCTTCAGCTATGAGTAGTTATTGAGAATTGATCATTTTTATCTTCCTTGTCATCTTTGAAAAGGCATAATTATTTTGCAAGATAGATTTTTATGGCTTATACTTGTTGCCATCATAAGAACACCTGGATCTTACTAATTACTCATCCTAATCTCTTCCTGCCCAGCTGGTTTCCCCCTCTTAATGTTCATTTTTACCTTGAATTATGTTGTCTTTCCTTAGTGCACTAAAACTTTCTCTCGTCTCCTTTTACAGGGTTCTCTAATTGCCAACATGATTCTAGGAATTATCATTTTGAAGAAAAGGTAAACAATGCACTTTTATAATTTATGCATAGGAAGCATATCGACCCCATCTATTGGCTAGGTATGTGGATTCCTTTTCTCCTACTGGAGAGCGTGCACTTCTGGCCCTCTTTGTTTCCGAGTCCTCTCTGTGGCAGTGACGTGCATTCCCAAAGCAGCTGACCAGGCAGGGGACCCACCTGTGCAGCATGTTCTCTCTGTCCAATTAGCTCTGATCATCATCGAATCCTTAGATCCATTCTAACCTCTGAAGCCAGTCGATTGAGAACTTCACTGTCCCATGTGGTCACCAGAAGCCACATGTGACGATTCACATTTAACATTTAAATTACTTAAATACTGAGTCTCACTGGTCAGAATTTAATTGCCCAATAGCCACATGTGGCTGGTGGTGACCTATGGGAGAGCCCAGTATGGGGCATTTTTAGCCTCATGGTTGTGTGGGACAGTGCTGTCACAGAAGGTATTCATCAGAGCAACACAATGAGCGAAGGACTGATCGTGCTTAGTACAAAGAAAATTCTGAATAAAGCCCAAATGGCCAGGAATATAGAATGAAAAGTGTCAGAACTTCTATGTGTCTGTTATCAATGGAATACCAAGTCTGGTCTTTTTTTTTCTTTTTTTCTTTTTTTTTTTTTCCTAATGAAACAATCTGTTGGTCCACAAACATGTAAAAACTATTTTAAGCAACACCAAGAAAGGGTGTACATAGCAACCAGTGGCACCCTGATCCTTGCACATGCCAACTTACTTGGGCTCTGCTGGTGGTTTGTATTCTCATCATCTACTGAAAACATCCTGTGGAATTGGTATCTGTGCCTTTCTAATGTGTCCTTGTTCTTATTTCTGCAGATACAGTATATTCAAATATGCTTCCATTGCCCTGGTGTCTGTGGGGATATTTATTTGCACTTACATGTCAGCAAAGCAGGTGGTAAGTATTGGTTTACAAATCATTTATATTCACTGCTTGCCATGGGGCCTGGGTAGCAGGTACTTATTAATGATATGAAGAGGGGAGGGGAAAAGGTAGCAAACATTTCCCATGTGTCCAGGCCCATGGCTCATGGTTCTGGTCTCTGTACTTAGTATTTTTTTTTCTTATTCCCTAGACGTCCCATTCCAGCTTGAGTGAGAATGAAGGATTCCAGGCATTTACATGGTGGTTACTAGGCAAGTATGCTAATTACGATAATGATAATTGCCTCTGCAGTTCTGTTTGCTGAACTTTCTCCTAAGGGACATGTTTCTTGGCAAGAAGCGTTAGCTAAACAAATGGTGCCACAGGAGAGAGGCACCTGGGGCCATAATTCTGAACAGCAGTGTTCACGAAGTGACAGAAAGGAAACATCGAAGTCATGGTGATGTGTTCTGTTACATGGACCCATGTTTCTCTTGGTTGCCACTGATCGAGGAAGAAAAGTGCCTCCCTGCTTGCCCAGCACTATGGGTGCTCTGTTGTCATCCATCTCTTTATGACTTACTAGTAGCCCTGTGCACCAATCTGTGCACCAGCCGCTCTCTGCAGGGCCTGGCTGCTCTGTGCCTGCTGCCCAGAGGCCCATCCACAGCTGGGCGTGGAACGCTTGCCTCTTTGTAGTGACATGCAAAGGGGCAACAACACAAGCATTCTGCCCCTTCACCAGCCACTCTGTGCCTGCCAGGCTGCTCACGCTGCCCGCTCTCAGCGGCCATTCCCCCAGGACTAGGGGACTCTGGCAGGGCTGAGAGGACTGGGTGCTGCCATCTTTGTGATGGAGTGATGGTTAATTTGCATATAACATTTTATTAGATAGGATTACTGAGCACAGGCTTCTTCAGAAGGGCACGTTGTAGCAGTGGAATCTAAAGGGACCCATTTCTAAATCTCAGATGTATTTTCTTCAGAAGTTAGCTGTTACACGTGGTAGTGTTCCCAGACTTGACTGGTCAGCAGAATCTCTGGAATTGTATCTCTTTGTGAAAGCAGTGAGGCAATTCCTGTAGGGCGTGGCCCTCCCATTGTGAGACACGGGGGAAGCTCTTCCCAGCTGCTTTCAGGGCTAGCAATGTCAGGTTGAGACTGACCAGGCGAAAGAGAAATAGCAGGGAAGGAACTGGATTCTCCTTGCTTCTTGTATTTGAAACTTTACCCCCTTTCAGATTGCTATTCCTAACACAGAAAGATCTTTACGAGCTATTAGAAGAATACTTCATCTATTAGGAGAAATTTGCAAAGGATTCGAACCTACCATTTATGGAGGAAAATATTAATGTCCTATAATTTTATGTTCAGCCTCTAACTAGTCTAATAATCAAATGCAACTTGAATTCAAAATGCAGTATCTTTTATTTTTGATTCATTAAAATGGCAAGATAATAAATGATTATTCTCCTTGCTGCTGAGGGTGCAATAGGACAATTATTTTTACATAAACTGTTTACAGTATAAATTGACATGCCTTTCTGGAAAAAAAGTGTATGTATTGAGTTTTTTAAAATACCTACAACTTTTGACTCAGTAACTCCACTTATGAGAGTTCATACTAAGAAAATAACGTTTAAAAAAAAGATTTACATATATGGATGTACAGTGATTTTAATGAAATAATTGGAAGTAATCTAACCATTCTCATATTGTAAGACAGTTAAGTACATCCACATGAGAAGAGTAGTATTTAGCCATTAAATCACACCTTTGAAAAAATTTTAATGAATGGCCTGAAGAAAAATCCAGAAAAAGATCATGAAAAAAAACAAGACATAAAACTCTATACTCATTATGATCCTGGCTTAGAGAGATGTAGAACGCTATCAAGGACTGGATGGTAATGTTCTTTTTAAAGTTCTGTGCATATTCTACAGCTAGTTTGTGATTTCTGTATGACATGTACACAGTCAATAAATGCCGTTTAACGAAGTATCTGGAAAGAGCGCGTGCAGGTGTCCTGTAACCGGCCTTTGTTTTGTAGGTATCGGGGCGCTGTCGTTCGCGCTCCTGATGTCCGCGAGGATGGGCATCTTCCAAGAGACTCTGTACAAACAGTTTGGCAAGCACTCCAAGGAGGCTTTGTTTTACAATGTAAGCAGTTTCTTGAACCTGGGAGGATAAAGATTACTGAGTTATGTTATTGTGCTGTGTGATTTCACATGTAACATGGCAATGCTGAGGTAGCTGAAGGATCAGTTTATCGTCCGGTGAAGGGCTTTGGGCCCACAGGCTGATGTGCATCTGAGCCACAGCCCTCTACACAGGTGGTCACGGCCAGTCTGTGTGAACATGCCAGGAGCCACTGTGCAGACCAGGAACCTGACCCCCGTTCCGGCAGATGCACCCAGCTTCAGACTAATCTGGAAACGGAAACAAAGCTGCAAACCCTGCATGCCCAGCGGAATATGTGCAGGCAGGCCTTGGAGAGGGTTGGGGAAGACGAGCGAGAGGAGGCCCACAGGTGGGCTTCAGTCATTTTGTGGAGAGTTTAAATAGCAATAATATATGCTTCGGCTTCTGTGGTTTAAACTGCTGGTCTAGAGCCTCCTCTCCTTCCTCCTCCCTTTCTCCTGTTGTGTTAATGCCCAGAGCAAAGCCCCTCAAGGTCAGAGTGAGGTTCCGTAACTCGGATTTCCTCACCGCCAACTTTTTGTATTGAAGCTGCAGACAAGCAGTTTGGCTTATTAGTTGGAGCTAGAGTACCTAGCTGGAATGTAAAAATAACCACTCCATGTGGTTCACATCTTTCTTTTAGAACAGTAAGTGGCACATGTGGCTTCTGAGTAAACGTTAGCCGTGATTCCTTATTCAGTTATTGTGGTGGTGGGTTGGTGTCAAGTACATTAATCTTTGCTTATGTGTTGTTTCCTCTTCCACCTCTTTTCATTCTTCATTTATTTTTTCCCAGACATTGTATTGTTCTCCAGTCTCTTTTCCTACTACTGTTCTAAACAATCTGAACTCTGGCTTCCACATTCCTTTTGTTGTTGTTAATCCTCACCTGAGGATATTTTTTCCCAGTGATGGTTAAAGAAAGTGAAAGGGGGAGGGGAGAGAGACAAACATCAGTTCCTCCTGCACCTACCCCAACTGGGGCAGGTATCAAACCTGCAACCTAAGTACATGCCCTTGACTGGAAATCGAGGTGCTCGGGCCATTGCTCTAATCATTGAGCCACACCAGCTGGGACCTGCCCCAGGTTCTTTATAATTTTTAAATCCATTGCATTTGCTTAACTATTCTCAAAATTAGTAAAACATAAGAAATCTTTGGACACAATGACCGCGTGTATTCCCTTTTGTTGTGTGTGTGTTATTGTGCCAGACAGTGTCAGGTCGTTAGAAGCACTGGATACATTTAACTTAGTCTTATTTGCTTTTCTTGATTGCTTGTCAAACAACTTATAAAATTACTCATAATTCTGTCCGGTGTTGCATTTCAATTTATGTGAAATATTTCTTTCCCTAGCATGCCCTTCCACTGCCTGGATTCATCTTCTTGGCTTCTGACATCTATGACCACGCAGTTCTTTTCAATAAGTCTGGTGAGTTTGCTGTAACTTGGTAGAATTGCCTGAGAGCTTCCAAAACAAGTTTCAGTTTCCCCCTGGACTTGCCACTGATGTTTTTAGGCAAATCCACAGGCCCCTTTAAACTTTCCCCATTCTGCCTTCCCAGCATAGAGTGCCATTCATCAATTGCAGCAGCAAAAGCGTTTGCAGGTGTTTCTCGATGATTTGCAAGAGATTTCTGTTTTGCTTTGGAATTGTGTGTTTGCGTTTGAATGCGGAAGGTTTGCTTCAGATAAATAGTCTTAGCACACAGCAGAGATGGGAGCCTTGGGAAGAGGAAGCAAAAATGGTGACAGGTTAGAGCTTGCAGGAATAAGCAAAATTAATTCAAAAGTCTACAGTATTAGTTAGCTGTTACTTTTTAAAGTGACTAATAATATCAATTGTCAGTTAACTTGAAAGAAATTACGTATATGATCTGATTAGCTACTGAAAGACAGTTATATAGACAAGTGAATAAACATAAGGCTTGATGTGCTCACCTCGAAAGTGTACTTTGTAGGATGGTGGGAGGCGCCCAGGAAACATTGGCTTGCTCTTAGCCTGAGCTGTGAGGTTGTACTGCTCTCTGAGTTTTTAACGTGGCCTCTTCCATTTCCTCCCCCCCAAAAATACTTGTGCTCTGAATTACCCATTTCCGATTTTTTTTATTGAGGTGCGATTGACATACAGCTGATTTTTGACACATGGTTTTCAGAGTTTCTGACAGTCCCCACATAGCAAAGAGCTATTTGAGTAAACATACTATCAAATTCATTTTGATTTGATTACTAGAATGCTTCTTCCAAAAGTTGCAATGCTGGGTACCTATACATTTTTCATTTTTAGAATCTGCCTTTAACTTTTTTTAGAATCATTCCTAAGTTAAATATACATGTTTTTCTCTTCTTGAGTTTTAGCATCTGGAACCTATTATTCTTGATTTTTCTAAGAGTGTTGAATATCCATCTAAATGTTTTATATCATACTGATTGTCTCTTTCCTCAGCAAATTGATACGGTGGATCTCTGAAGTTATTAAACAGTAATAACATTTGTTAACTTTCTTTTCATTTCTGTACTTGCTGGGTGTTTCAAAGACAATAGAATCCCAGATTATTGGGATTTCTCACTAGTTGGGACATAAGAGTCCCAACTCTTTATCTAGATGGCTTTTAAATTTTTTGCAAAAGAAAATTAATGTTCTTTTCCTAACCAGAACTCCGCATCACCTTTGGTATTTCCTAAGTTATGCTGTATATTTTAAACTCCAAAAACAAGTTAGCAATATAAAAGAAGTGATCCTGAGAGGGTTGTTATGTCCTTATTAATCTTGGGCATTTTGTTTACTCCCAGATGTTCACTGTACAAACCTAAATGTATAAAACTAACATAAGAATGTATTTAAAAAGATTTACTTCCATCACCTTACACATCAGCTAATTCCATTTTACCAGTTTCCTTCCAGACACTATTTACATAAATTCTTATATCATTGTAACCCTTGTATAGATAAAATTTATACTTCCTTTTTCACTTTCATTCTTAGTTTTCTGTGTGACTATGTATAATCCTTATATTTTAAATCTAATATATATACAGTGCCTCATCTAGTCAGAGCAACTTTGCTTACCCACACATTGCTCTATCATTGGACATTTAGATTCAGAGTTTTTCCTAAGAATGGGTATCAATACTTTTATGCCCCCTTATAAGAATTGTGAAATTGATTTTTAAAAAGTCAATTTATATTTCCACCAACTGAATGGTTGTCAATTCCATGTTTATCTTGCCAGATTAGAATATTATTTGTAAATTTTCAATTGCTAGTTTAATAGATATAAAATGTGACAGCCTAGTTTAATTTAGAATTATTTGATTACCAGTAGGATTGACAGCATTTCCAAATGGCATTTAGTTACTGGTTGTCTTTTCTGTGTGGAGATGTTAAGCCCATATCATTTGAACTTCTCTGTGATTCACAGCCTTGCTCTGTAAAGTGGAGTCCTGTTTAGGCAAATGGGAAAGAGTTTATTTTAAACTTAAGAGAAATTCTCATTTGTTTTTGTTTTAAGATAGCAATGCAATGACTCTTGAAGTTTATATAGCCTGGAAAGTAAAGTGGTGTTTGGTCCAAATCTGTTTGCAAGGGAAATAGCGTCGTTATCTCTGTTATGTTCAGTTTGTTCAAAAAGATGAAAACTTCAGCTGTCAAAAGTAATACACCTTTCTCCCCTCTTAATCTTTGCAGAATTATACGAAGTTCCAGTTGTTGGTGTGGCAATGCCCATCATGTGGTTCTACCTCCTCATGAATGTCATCACTCAGTATCCTTCGCACTCCTCTCCGCGTGGTCTTCTCTGGCACGGGATTGTTCATTCCTCTGACAGTTCAGTGACATGAGTTGCATTTCCGCTTTGATCTGTTCCGCAGTAGGAGGAGAAAAGCCCATCCATTGAGCTCCCTGTGGAGGGCCAAAGGGATGGGAGTGGGTGCCGAGGTCAGCAGGCCACAGGGCTCTGTGAAGGAGGTGCTCAGGGTGCAGGTGTAGAAGTCAGTGGGTGATGGAGAATTAATATAGGACATGTATGCTCTATGATTTATACATAGAGTCTTCTAGTATCCTGGGACATTTCACAAGCTGAAATTCTGAAATTCCAAATGAATTAAAACTAAAATAATGCTTCTTTTGAACGACCGTAAGTCCATTATAAAAACTGTAAAGTCCTTGGAACTGATGAGATTGACTTCATTCCTCTCACTTAGACTTGTCCTACAGAGAAGGAGGTGGAAGGACTGGGGACCAGATCAAGTAAATATAGGTGTGATGACTGTTACTGAAAGTGTTACCATCTGTCATTCCTTGGGTGGTGGCCTTCACTGTGAACTGTGGGAAGGATCAAGAATAAGACTAATGGGAGGTTTTCGGCAGTTTGAGTTGGGACCCACAATTGGAATGGCAGAACAGAATCTGCTGAATGTTCTCCCAAGGAGCCTCAGAGCCACCATAGCCAAACCCCGAGTTTTCTGGTTCTTAGAATATGAACATGTAAGCCAAGAGCCATGCCAGAGAGTGCTCCTCCTGCTGACCTCTCAGTAGTCAGAAAACTACCTTAACCCTTTCTCTCCAGGTACGTGTGCATTCGGGGTGTCTTTATTCTCACCACGGAGTGCACCTCCCTCACCGTCACACTCGTCGTGACGCTACGCAAGTTTGTGAGCCTCATCGTCTCCATCTTGTACTTCCAGAACCCTTTCACTGTGTGGCACTGGCTGGGCACCTTGTTTGTCTTCATTGGGACCCTCATGTACACAGAGGTGTGGAACAACCTGGGCATCACCAGAAGCCAGCCTCCGAAGGAGGACAAGAAGAACTGAGCCTGCCTGGGAGACCAGGCTCTGGCTAAGGTCTGGCTGCCATTTCTCTCTTGTTAATGAGAATCACCCCCAGCACTGAACCACCATGTACCAGAGAATCCTCAGAGGAGGGGACTTCTCAGATTTCACATGGCTTCACAGACCAACATGTGTGGACTCCGAACAAAAACCTCTCAACCCTGAATTAGAAAAAAGAATAGTTATCTACTATGGAACAACCATTTGTTTACCAAAATATACAGTACTGTACTTGTTTATCGAGTCCCAGAGCTACTCGTTTTATATCCGTGGTCTTGCACAAGACTATCCATTTTGTTGTTGTTCTGATTGTTCTCTGCCATCACCACCATTATCTCGTGCTGTCACCTTCCACTTTTCAGTCAGTCAGATGTTCATGGCATCATCGTCAGGAACAACTGAGTGACCAGGTGAAGTGAGACACTGGTGACACGGGCTGGACTTCCTCGTTGTGTTGGGAATGAGGCGGTGGTCTCTGTGAGCTGAGCCCCTGGTGACAATGGAGCAGGACTAGTGGGAACCCTTTCCAAGTGGTAGGTTAAGTCCTCGAAAGACTTTTTAAGCAAGACGGTTGAACTCTGCCTGGCAGTTCTGGTAGAGTCATAGGCTAGTCCTAGACTCTCGAGTCCAATAATTACAGGCTATTGTTGTTCCTTGTGATTAAGCCCCAAGACCAGTGGTCGGAAAACTCTAGTCAACAGAGCTGCAGTTTTCCGACCACTGGGCTAGGTAGTAGACTAAAGTATGATGTAGGTGTATGAATTCAGGTCAAATCACAACTAAAATGAAGTTTTCCTTATTTTTCTATAAGGTATCTTAATGGGTATGTGTGTGTGTTGGGGAGGGGGGCAGTGTATGTGTTTCATTACATGCGGAAAGGTGCCTCCCTCTTTTTCTAATCTGGTTTTTCTCCCATTGCATAATTTTGAGGCAGAAGAACCATGTCAGCGTGGTGTGTGTAGGTAAGAGTGATAATTTTGAGAGAATAGCATGGAAGTCAGAGTTCTTTCATTTCCTCTGTCTTCACTTAGCCCTGGACCTTAGTTGACCTCATAGAAGCACATGCTCTTCTGTAGGTGGTTAAACTTACCAGGCACTCCCTTTTTGCACACACAGCCTTTTTTTCTTTTTTTCTGAATACAGATTATATTCATAAATCGACATGTGGCTGTACGGGTTCCCTGGGTTCACGTATGGTGGAGTATGTATATTCTAATACCTGGAGTTAGTCTATGGTGGGGCCTGAGATAATTGTCCTCGAACAACTGAGTTACTTAGGGGAAGTCACTATAGTGGCAGGATAAGGGGACGCTGGGCTTGCTCCTCCCATAAACACAATGAATGCACATCTAAATTTCAAGTAGCTGTCTCTAAGAGATAACTGAACAGCTTCTACACAACAAAGAAGAGGGGGAGAGGCCACCTGGAGAAGACAGGAACTACAGGAGCTGTCCAGAATCAGAGAGCATCATTGTTCGCGTTCTCCTTACACTTGGGTGGCAGTGGTGAGAGCTCTGGTCAACCTGCAAGGCCACAGTAGTGCATCCTCAGTCACCGCTCCTGAGGAAGGGGAGTATAGCAAGCATACACAGCCCCTGCCCCCTACACACCAATCCAGAGTTAGAGCCACCTGGAGTGGAAGGGATTCAGCAGGGCATCACTGTGTTCCTGCCCAGGGGGAAGTCCAGCTCAGACCTCCATGTCAATCAGTCAAAGCAATAGGACATACCTATGAGTGCACAGAGAGGGACCCCAGAGAGAGCCGTGCACATAGAGGAAGGGAGCTGACAGAGTGCACCCCAACCCAGGCTGGCAGCAGTCAATCAAACCACAAGGTGAGCCATGCACAGCAGGAAGCTATGCCTGGAGTAGGCGGGAAACACAGTGCTGTGGTGCCCGTGGTCAGGTATTCTCAGACTAGCAGCAGTCAATCAAAGCAACTGGGTATGCCCCATTGTACACCAGGCAGCCCCTCCAGGATCAAGAGCAGAACCAGCAGGGCTCTATAGCACACACACAAGTGCAGCTGTGAACAGCCAAAACAACAAGACACCCAACCTGCTCCTTCTGGCCAGATAGCACCCTGGGCACTGCACATGCCTGCCCCAACTGAAGCCTGCCAAAGCTATCTAGTCTACACAGATGCCACTTTACCCAAGACCAATTTTTCAAGCTCAGGCGAGAGAGCTATTTCATCTAACTCTTAGAAACAGACACAAAGTCAAATGAAATGGAGGAACAAGAGAAAACCTAATGAAGTGGAGAAAATGAATTTGATAAAAAATTCAAAGAAACTATCATAAGGATGGCTCAGTAAATTTGAGAGTAGAAAAGAAATTGGGGACAACTTCAAAAAAGAAATTATAATAAAGAACCAATAAGAGGTGACGATTATAATAACTGAAATGAAAAACACAGTAAATGGAATTAACAACAGATTGGATAATACAGAAGAATGGATCAGCAACCAGGAAGAATAGTGAAAATCACCCAATCATAATAACAAAAAAAAGAATTTAAGAAAATAAGGGTAGTATGAGGGCCCTACGGGGCAGCATTATAGGAACCCGGAAGGAGAAGCAGGGGACAGAAAGTTCATTTTAAGAAATAATGGCCAAAAACGAAGGAAGGAAGCAGACACCCACATTAGAGAATCCCAATTAAGATGAACCCAAAGAGGTCCACACCAAGATATACTGTAATTAAATGGGGAAAAATATTTTTTTTAAATCTTGAAGGAAACAAGGGGAAAACATTGAATTACATTAAAAGGAAACTCAAAAAAAAACCAAAAAAAACCCCCAAAAAACTAACAGTTAATTTCTCAGAACTTTTATAAGCCAGAAGGGAATGGCAGTAAATAAAGTGCTGAAAGAAAGGAACCTACAACCTACAATCTGGTATATTATACCTGGCAAGGTTGTCATTCAGAATTGAAGGAAAGATAAAGATTTCCCCAGATAAGCAAAAACAAGAAGTTCACCACTAAACAGACTTAACATGAGATGTTAAGCAGTCTTCATGCAGAAAAGGCTATGCCAAAAATAAGAAAACACGGGGGTGAGGGTGAGGGTGGGGAATCACAGATAAAGGGAAATATAGAATTAACACAGAATCGCCACTCAAAAATCCAATATGAAGATTAAAAGAAGTAGCAAAATTAACTATAGCTATAATAGGAGCTACTCAAAGCAAAAAAAGATATAAAATATATCAAAAATAAAGTGTGGGGAGGCAGTTAAAACGTAGTGCTTTTAGAGTGTGTTTAAACTCGAATGCCTGTCAGTTTAAATTAGACTGCTACAGATATGAAAAGAACCCCAACAAAACATTAAAGGAAACCAGCAAAGCAATCAAGAAAAGAACAAAATGGCAATAAGTAGATACCTATCAATAATTACTTTAAATGTAAATGGACTGAATTCTCCAATCAAAAGTTATAGGGAGGCAGGGTGTATTTAAACACAAGACCCATCTCTCTGCTGCCTACAAAAGACTCACTTTAGAGTGAAAGACCTACAGACTGAAAGTGAATGGATGGGAAAAATTTTCCTACAAATAGAAATGAGAAAGCTGGGGGTAGCAATATCAGACTAAGTAGGTTTTAAAACAAAGAATGTAAAATGAGACAAAGCAAGGACATTACATAATGATAAAGGGGTCAATCTAAGAAAAGAATTTTACAATCATAAATATTTACACACCCAACATAGGAACACCTGTCTATAAAGCAAATATTAGTGGGTATAAAGGCAAAAATTAACATTAATACAATAATAGTTGGGGACTTTACTGTCCCACTTACCTCAGTGGATAGATCATTCGGGCAGAAAATTAATAAAGTAATTTTAGACTAGATTAATAAACATTTTTAAGACACTTTATCAAAACATTGTGGATTATACATTTTTCTCAAATGCACATGGAACATTTTTCAGGATAGACCACAAAAGAAGCCTAAATAAATTCAAGAAGACTGAATTTTTATCAAGTAATAATTTCCAATCAGAATGGCATGAAACTAGAAACCAAATATAGGAAGAAAATGGGAAATAACACAATATGGAGATTAAATACTTGCTACTAAACAACCACTGGATCAAAGGAAATAACTACTTTGAGACATGAAAATGAAGGAGGAAAGTTCATAGCTTTGCAGGCCTACCTTAAGAAGGAGGATTTTTTTTTTAATATAATCTAACTTTACACCTAAAGGAACTAGAAAAAAGAATAAAGTCCAAAGTAAGTAGGGGAGGAAAATAATAAAGATCAGAGTGGAAATAAAATACAAAAACTATTAAAAAAAAAAAAAAGCCAATAAAATTAAGAGCTGGTTCTTTGAAAGGGTAAATAAAATTGACAAACCTCTAGTAAGACTTATACCAAGAAAAAAAGATAGCCTAATAAAATCAGAAATGAAATAGAGAAATACCACAAAAATACAAAGGATCATTAAAGGATACTACGAAGGCAGCCCTGGGCATGAGCAGGGCAGGACTAGAGGCATTGGCTGTCTACATGCTACTCAGTTGCAAGCCCAGGAAGGGGAAACCCTTTAAGCTCCCAGGAATTTTCGATGTTGAGAGTATTTCTTGTGCCTGGGATTCAGTATTATATGGTTCATAAGGATCTGTTGGAGCTGAGACATTTTTTGTTAACTAGAATTAGGAGATCTTGGGGTGCTAGAGTTGGAGGATTTATCTTGGTAATTTTAGGATGCTGTTTCCATCGTAGGTATAATTATGTAACGCTAAAGATCTGAAGAAATAAAAAATAAGATATATGAAACTACCCACCTTGATCCTGAAAGAAAACAAGTGGCAACAGCAGCAATTGGGCAGAGCACAAAAACCCAAATACAACTCCCTGAAGTCAATGTGAACAAAATTAAGGTCAAGGATGTAAAACATTCTATGTGTCATAAGAAAACTTTCAATCAAGTAAAGACTTCTGTATACTTGTATGAATATTAGTGAACTTGTAGCTCTGTATGTACATTACAGTATATAGTAGACTTGCCATATTTAAACAAAAATATGAATTATGTCAAGAAATTGGACAATCTAGAAGGGACAAATTTCTAGAAATATACAACCTGCCAAGACTAAATCAGGAAGAAACAGAGAATCTGAAGAAACCTATTATTAGTAATGAGATTGAACTAGTAATAAAAAACACACACACCTGAATAAACAAAAGCCCAGGACCAAATTCCTTCCTTCACAGGTGAATTCTACCCAACCTTTAAAAAATTAATACATCTTCTCCAACTATCACAAAAAGTTGAAAGCTCTCAAATATTCTTGAAGGCCAGCATTACTCTGATACCAAAACCAGAAAAAGATACTGCAACAAAGTATTACAGGCCAATATTCCTGATGAACATGGAAATATTCTCAACAAAGA